TTCTTTACTGAACTTTTGTTTGCTTGGAATTTGCATTTTGTTTATCAAGAATGAAGTAAATGGGTAAGTTGAATACATTGTTGCATTCCATCATTGTGAGAAAGAGTTTGTTTATATTTTTATCCCTCATTGAAAATTGGTTTTAATTTAATAATTAATTTTTAAATTAATTTGATTTTATTAGATCAACCACGTTTTTTTGTATTGCACAATTTTTTTTCTTTCAAACAAGTTAAGGTCAAAATAGCAAAATGTTGAACATTAATACAAGCACATTTTAGTCGATCCCTGATTGATTTAGATATCACGACACAAGTATAAACATCAATAATATAGCAATTATTCAGCGCAGATTAGGTTAACAGACTGTTGATTTTGCAGAATCACACATGTATACCAATTTGTATAACCAATTTCAATTGCTCATAGCCAGGCAATTTTTGAGGTTATTAAAGCTAAAATGATAATTGATATAAATAAATTCATTGAATAATTTAATTACTTTACTGGCCAGAAATTTTTGTAAATTATGAAATGTTTAATTGATATGACTTGGACGTGTAAAGAGGAAGAAATTCTTCGATTATAAATTGTGATGATAACCGTTCACTTACTAATTGCACCACTCGTAAACGCACTTCAAAATTCGAGAACATTGAATTTCATTTACTTATTCCCAAATTTGAATTATCGTGTAAACATGGAATTATACTGAAATCTTGAAATTGATACGAATATTGAATTTAAATATTGAGAACTTGAAATTATATTGTGTGAATGCTCAGCGTAATGATTTAAGTACAAATTATATTGACATGTTGTCTAATGATTTAAATCGAGTTTATAATTTTATGATGAGGAATACAACAAATTTGTTTATGATTTAAATATAATGAAGTGATTAATGAATTATTGAATAATCCAAGCTTATATTGCAACACTAAATAAACAAGCTTATTACTTGTTGAGTTGTTAATGCTTAACTTAATTGTTTAATGAAAAAGATATGTAATATGAGGATAAATTCGTCAGTTTAAATGAATACTTAATATAAATACATATGGGTACAAATAATCCAAATTTACATAATTTTACTTGTAATGAAATGCTTAGGATAAATGTATGACAAAGGTATACTAATAAATGATTATGAAATATGCGATGACATTAAACGATAACGAGTTAAAGTGCATATGTGTATTGCTAGTAAACACGAATAGATGAATTCCAGTCTACGTGTAATAGAAGCAATTGATTTTTTAGAAAATAAGTAAGTAAATAATGTTTAGTTAAATAACAGTTAATTTAAGTTCCTCCTCATAAAGTTACATACGTCGAATATGGAAAGACTAGACGTTTAAATAAAATCTAATGTTAAATCGATGACTAAGACACATGCAAAAAACTATATTAGATTGATTAACCTTGAAAATCAAAAATGTTATTCATTTGTATTTTTTAAGAAAAGAATGGAGAGAAAGAGAGAGTGAATATGAGTAAATGATGGAAATTGGCACGTATTCATCTTGCACCACTTGTATTATGTGCTATGATTTTTTATGTTTAACGATTTAATTTTTTTTAAATGAATTGTTATATTGCTTTATGCCTACTACACATTGTAGTTCATTTTACCTTATGTTATGATGTTAAAAAAAAAATGAATTGAAAGGGATGTAATGTAGTATTAAGGTTCAATGGTTTTAACTTGCATAACCATTGGAATTGATACCCTTCACCTGATAAATGCCTTAAATTTGTTTGACAGTTTTAATGGTCAACTTGAGTATACAGATAATCTAATTGTTACCTGCACAGAAAAGTAGGCCCCTATTAAATTTTAACATCCAAGGACCTGTGGAAAGTCACATGACCTGGTTGAGGTTGGGCCTCTGGCATTGAGCTCATCATCATTAAAGTGCTTGATACAGAGTAACCAACATCTAACTGAGGTCTATGTGAATTCTTTTACAGGTAAGTACCCTAATATGTTTTCTTTTATAACTTTTTAGTATTTAAATCATTTACATTATATTTTAGATAGATGCTGAGATAAGTGTGTATCTCAATGAATTAAACTAGAGATAATTAAAGATGAAAACGTTATAGTTACAGTTCACTGTTAAATCATGGTTGAATACTGTACTAGATAGACTATTATAGAAATTATGATAGATGATTGCTTATTATGATCCATCTAAGCTTTAGATTAAAGTTAACATAACTGTTATATGTTCACTATGCTATGAATAAGTAATTAAAACTTGTCATTATTGTGATGAATAAACTGTAGGTTCAATAGAATACAGTAGGCCCAATAGAACCCTATACAGTGCACTGCATTTAGGTTAGTGACCTTCCCACTAATTGGTAAGGTATGCAGGGCTGTGCTACTGAAACTGGGCTGTTGCTATGACAACGAACGATACAGAGCAAGTTAAGTAGATTACAGAGAGTAATTTATAACTCTGTTTTCCCTAATGTGTAACAAGAATAGCAACTGTATTAACAGGGTAGAGTATTGTATATTCAGTATTGTACTTTATTTTAGGCTTTAAACAATTCTCTATAGTAAAATATAAAGTGGTATTTTTCCTCATATGATGATTTAATGTTTTAATGTCATTTTAGTTAATTTAGTAAAAGTAATGTTGGGTAAAGGATCAGATAAATTGATTTATTAGTTAATTTCTTTTATGTTTTAACACTTGTCATTATGATTTTGAATGTGTTAAGATGATCATTAAAGTGCTTGATACAGAGTAACCAACATCTAACTGAGGTCTATGTGAATTCTTTCACAGTCGGCATATCCTGGAAACACCCGTAAAATCTGGCGATCCTGCCAGGACATTGCTGACGTAAAGATGACCATGGACCTCCAAGCACTAGAAAGGGAAGTTAAAGACTGCCTATATAAGTTAACTCTGCCTCAACTGAAAGAGGTAGCTGGAGAAATTAAGCAAGATGCCGGAATTGCCAATAAACCAATCCGTGCAGTACTTAAACACATTTTAAGGTACTTGGAGAGTGAAGAGGTGGAGGCTCTTGAAGATGGTGGTAAAAGCATCCTGCTGGTGGTGAAAGCAAAAATTCAAGAGTTTATGGCATCTCCAACAAGTTCAACTGAAACCACACAATCACTGCCGTCATCCCTTGAGATGTTTAAAAGGGAATTGAAAATAAAGGGACAGATTGGGTCTCCGGGACAGACTGACAAACTGTCCTACTTAAGCATTATGAGACAGATAGAAGATGGTCTCACCCGTGGTTACAACCGTAGTGCCATCTTAAATGCTGTAACTATGGCTGTAACAAGTGGAACTCCACTCCGAGGCTATCTAGAAAGTCGGCCGGAAATGAGCCTAGCTCAACTCAGACGAGTCTTGCGTTCCCATTTTAAAGAAGGTGATGCACTGGACTCCTACCAACAACTGTCTTCCGCTTGCCAACAGCCTGGTGAGTTGGCTCAAGAGTTTGTTTTCAGGGCTATGAACCTCCGTCAAAAAGTGAGATTCTCATCCAATGAGGAAGGAGCACCGCTGATGTACGACGATCAGTTTTTGCGAAGTACGTTCCTCCAGACACTACAGACAGGTCTTAAAGGAAACTTACGCAGTGAGATGAGGGAGCACCTTCAGGAACCCGGTATCTCAGATGAAGACCTGCTTGAGAGGCTTGCCCGAGTAGAAAATCTTGAGGAGAAACGGAAACAGAAACAATGTACATCAAGCACTGTAAAAGTTGCCAGTGCAACTGTTAGCCATACATCGTCAACCAGCGATGAAATCAAACTGCTGGTTGAAGGACTGAAGACCCTCCAGGCAAGTGTTTCCGTTTTGCAGGGAGTTGTACGACACTCAAACAAAGGTGGGCGCAACTCAAGAGGAAGGGGATGTAGCAGTTGCAAGCAGAATGGTAGAGGAGATGATTGTAGGCATTGTTACAAGTGTGGAGGTGACAACCACTTCGCTAGGGCTTGCACCACCAACCAGGGAAACGGGCCCCGATCATCCCAGCGGGACTTGGAATGATCGCAGATAAACCAAACACGTCCCTTAATTCCAAGAAGCAGGAGATAGAGGTGGCCAAAGGTGATTCCTTGGATCGAGGCCAGTCTGGGGTCGATCACTCTAAAGAGAGTTGCAGTAACCAGTCAAAGATAGATCCAGAAAGGCAGCATCAAATTAGCCACCTCACACCTGGGCAACACCAACGAATAGTCAACCTCATAGGTAGACGATGCACTGTCAGATGCAAATTAAACGAGAAAATTGAAGAGGTTCTATGGGACACAGGTTCTCAAGTATCGATAGTGTCTCAGACATGGTGGAAGACAAGTTGCCAAGATGAACCACTGAGGAATTTAAGGGAAATTCTGCCACAAGATCTCAAACTTACTGCTGCCAATGGTACTAATATACCCTATATAGGATGGCTTACTCTGAAATTTCAACTTTTATCTACCAACAATCAATCAACATTTTCTACATTAGTACCAGTCTTAGTAACAGCTGATGAACTTCAACAACCAATCATTGGCTATAATGTAATCAAAGAAATTGTACAAATTGATTTCCAAAATGTAATCACATCAAAGCTACGAAGTTAATTTCAACGATACGCAATTCCGATCCTACCGACTTTTGCAATGTACATTCAGGAAATTTGGTACATGAGGTCCCAGCGAAGCAGACGATATTTATAAAAGTTAGAGCCATAACTGGTCCCATCCAAAAAAAGATGATGGTGATATTTATAAAAGTTTGCAGTGTACTAAAAGGAACTGTGTTATATACTACTCATTAAAAGTCAACAGCAACTAAAAGATATTTAACAATACCCTCTTATTATTATCTAGACTTAAATGATGCATTCCTACTATTAGGTGTAAGAGTGCCAAGTTTGAAAATAATACATTCCTCTAATTTTTTACAAGTTATTTCTGAACTGTTTTAAATCTTAATGGCGGTGACTATTATATCAGAATGTGTATAGTTATCAGAGAAATGAGCAGCATTCGCCCTGATAACAAAAGATTTGCAGGATCGAATCTTTCAAGAAATAATTTTTTTTTTATACAACTGAATAAATGGAACTTTTCGGTGAAGGGCTATGCTTTATTCTTGTTC